CTGTATCAGTCCAACCAGGCTGGTTCCCCGGCCATTCTCTCGCCCAGATATACATCAACATGGGCTACGGCAACGAGCCGTTGAATTACTCGCACACCATGCTGCCCGTCTTCCAGATCACAGGGCCATCGAACCAGCAGTACGAAGGCGAGTTTTGTCTGCCGCAGGTACCGTTGCCGGCGAACTACACGCCCAAGGTTGGCGACAATGCGACGATCCAGGTTATTGAACTTGCGCAGCATGGGGCTTCGCTTTACAACGTGAGTTTTGGCTACTTTCTACTACGCTTTGGATTTGTTTGTTAATAATTTGAATAGTGCGCAGACATCACTTTCGCCGAACCAGAAGACGTACCTGAAGTCAACTCGTCAAACTGCAGAAACACAACTGGTCCGGATACGCATATTGGGTTCCAGGTCGTTTACACTACTACTTCGTCGCCAGCGCCACATACCATTGTTATTAATGGGTATGCATCGATACTTGTTCCGGTCATGTTTGCGGCTGCGTCGTGGTTAACGTGGGTTGTGTAATGGATTCATCCATCCGGGGGGTTTTTTTTCGGGGCACGGTGTTGGGCGTTTAAGATATCCAGTCTTTTTCTCTGTTCATCTTTTTCTTCATATACTTGGAGCGACGATATCCCGTTGGAAAATGTCCGCGGCATTTTTTTTAAGAATCGCATATCGTATGTAGCTTTGCGCACTGTTTTTATGCCAAATCAGCTAGAAACAATCATTCGAGCATTCATAATGCGTCTTAAATCTCCACAAATCATCACTGCATACATCTCTCATGTAAATCTTACGCCAGCACCGCTTGATGACGCTTACGGACATGACGTACTCACTCAGTCAGCATAAGCTTACCTACTTGCTTTGTGCGACACAAGGCGAAAAACAGTTCCTTGAAATCAACGTGCGGATGGAAGGCCTGATCTGCGCGGGCGCCGGATGACAGCGGGTGGCTTGAGTTGGAACGAAAGGCCAGATGGTAGGCCGAGGGGATGGGGGAGGCGTGGTTGTCACGTGCGGTTGTGCGGAAAGAGCCTCAATCTTCCACTTGACATGTGCAGGATGATGCCAGTGTAACATGCTCATTTAACGGTCGCAATATCTAAAAACGGGGCATAGAGATTAATGCTCCCAGCGGACTGTTCAAACACAATTGCAAATCTCGAAAGCGCTGCAAGGCATAATTCCAACTCCATATCCCATGTCCTTTGTGTCTCGTGTGGGATAGCACACCTTCCCCACACCCTCCTTATCACCCACAGTAGCATGCACTGTGCTGTCAGTCACCCATGCAGGTGCCATGTTATCGACCCTGTTCCCCCACTACAAGCCAACACCCAGCAACCGCCGTTCCGCCCCCTCGGAACCCGCATTCCGAACTTGCTCTTTTTTGTCTGCCCGCACACCCACCCCACTCAAAATTGGGAAACTCCAACCTCTCAGAAGAGAGGTGTAGCCGCCATAGACATTTTAACACGGTTAGCTGCGATTTGGCGGAATACGACTCGCCCGTGCCGTCGATTTTTTTCTTCGGGGGAGGTGTGGTTAAGCGCCGCAGCTTAATCCGAACTCCACCGACTGCACGACTGCATGACTGCGCATAAGATTATCTAGCGCAAGAAAAGGACGACAACGTCATTGGGGTCTTGTTCGCGATTTGCTTCCGCATAGGGAAGGGAGACGGTGCGTGGTTAGAAGCAGAAGCAGAAGCAGAAGCAGGCGAAATCGAAGAGTCAGTGCGAATCACACCATGCGATGGAGCCCTCGTCGCTGACTCGTATTTTTGAGGCATAGAGGCCGTAACAGTGCGGGCCGTCTCACCCCCCCAAAAAACAACAACAACAACAAAAAGAACAGAATAGGAAGACAAGTACCCAGAATGGGTGGCAAAAGGATAAAACGCCAACAAGTCCAAAGCACCGATGGCTGGACTGTAATCACACATGGCCTGTCCAACATGTCGCTCAGCAGCAAAGACGCAAGTAAAGCTGATGCTGTGGGTGCGATGCCGACGCAGACGGTGAAGGATCTCACGCCGGAAAAGTTACTCCGGGATTTTATGTTATTGCAGGAGAGGTGGGAGGATACAGCGCTTGCGGCGCAGGTCAAGGAGCTTATACAGGGGAAGCAGTGGGGTGTTAGATCAGCCGTGTGCATTGGTATCGGGAGTTTTAGTAGGGATTGGGCGCATCGGTGGAGAAGCATTTGGCAACTTGTGTTGTTTGTTGATGTTGTGCGGTTGCGTAGGTTTCCAAAGCTTCCCTTTTCTCGTGCTGGAATGGCTAATAGAATGCAGTGAAGAAAGAAGGTGATGAAGAAGGAGGAGGAGGGGACATTGCTTGCTTCGCTCAAGACCCAGCTTTCACACCCCTAGACACGGAATTCCTCTCTCTACTCTCCATCGCAACCCTCACTTCCGATCTCCAAACTAAAATCACACCTGCGTCCTTTGTCTACTCGCCTTTTGTGGACTGGTTTCTGCTTCTGCCGACATTTCTGGCGCGCAGGAATCCAGTGCTGTATGTTGGAAATGAGATTTTGGATGATTATGCGGTTTATGCGCAGTCGAAGGAGAAGAGGGAGAGGCTGGACGAGTGTAATGAGGTGGGGAGGAAATGGTTGGAGCAAAGGGAGATGCTGAGGCTGAGGGAGTTTGAGAAGCATGCGAATGCGTTGAATGGAATGGTCGTTTATTGGAGGACGGGGTTGGATGATGAGGTGGAGGTGAAGGAGGAGGGGTCTGAGGAGGAGGGTGAGAAAGAAAGGAAGGGAGAGGGGGCTGAAGGGGAGAGCAAGAAAGATAGAGCTGAGGAAGAGGTTCAAGAGAAAGCCGAGGATGACGTTAGTGAAGGAGGTGCGAACGAGGTTAAGGACAGAGTTGGGGATGACAGTAAGAAGGAGAAGCTTCAAACAGGGATCAGGGAGGAAGATAATAAGAAGTCAAGAAATCAAGGCAGCACTCACAGCGCAGAGCAGGATGCCTGAAAAATGGGCCAAGAAACGAGATGGCGGCTTTTTCAAAGCCGTGAGCAGCTCTCTAGGTAACGTCTACCAATGGCTACTCACACGAAATGCTTTTTCACATACTCGCGACGATAGGGTAACTTCTCACTTGCAGTCTTTCCTCTCCACCTCTGCAACTTCTCTCCAGAAACACTTATGTGCATACTGTTGACCACCAGCGTAGCCCACCCAGAACGGCTCCTTTTCATGACGCTTTGGAACCGCCAACGACCTGGAGTTGAAGCGACGGTCGTCCAGTCGGATTCCAAGTTCGGGCTTGCCATGTTCTTGACACAGGGCAGCGTACGTAAACAACATTCCAGCACTGTACCCGGCATTCCTTGGGCTCTTGGCGTGGAAGCTGTCGTGCAGGTGCGGCACCCCGGAGGCGGGAGTGAAGCCTTCATTAACGTCTCTCTGTTGAACTGATACCTTTGTCGCATCCAGCCATCCTTTATAGTAGTCGTGACGGCGTAACAGCTGGACTGCATTAGTTCCCATGTCCTCGAAAGTTACTGGTAACTGATATTCTTTGAACTTGTTCTGGTTGACAGGATCAAACAAGGTTTCTGTTCCGGGAGTATGCAGGACCTTGATCACAGGCCTGATCTTTGGGGCTTCTTCTTTGCTGGTAGGATGCTGGTGACTGCGATGCCATGGGGAGGGAGGCGTGCTACACGTCAAGTACTCTTCGCTGGTGAGACCGTTGGGAGAACAGGGCGCCAGTGCTTCGAGTCCGTCTTTGGCAATCTCGATCTCCCTTCTCGCTGACGCCAACTCCTGTTTCTCGGCCTGAACCCTATCGTCCTCTTCTCTGACCTTTCTCTCGCGCTCCTCCAAGGCCTTTATCTTCCTCGCCAACTCTTTTTCTTTCTCAAAGTTGTGCAAAAACACCTCCACGATAGTGTTCTCTCGTTTGCGACACTGACCGAGCTCTTCCTCCAGATTCTTGATACGAAGACTCATCCCGTGCTTCGCCGAATCAATTTGCAAATTCGCGGTACGCGCCTCGTACTTTCGGAGCTTAGCATGTGCTTCGGCAAGCTGGCGGATGAGAGCTTCGTTATTCGTGCCTTGCGCGGCTGCGATTGGTGAGCTGACGACTGCGAAAAGTGAAGAATGCGATATACCATCTAGCGGAACGTATTCAGGACTTGCAGCCGCCTCGAGAGTGTCGATGGGCAAGCGCATACTCCAGGGCATTGAGGTATAGTCTTTTGGCGATGCCATGGTTGCAGAGCGGAGAGCTTCGCGATCGCGTTTAGAGGAAACGTTATAGAGGAAATCGCGGACAGAAACGGTACAAAGGTATCTTGGATCTAGGTTTATTCATGATCTCTTGGTCGTGGTGAGGAGGAATGGTGATGGTGAGCCATAGTGCGCGACCGACGACCGCTTCTTGACGTGAATGCGTTTACCACCGCGAACGAACCAAGATTCGCCATGTGCTGAGGGTACAGCTTCTGGATCATGAAGATATTCAGCCCTAAAGTCTTTCCACCTGTTTTGGTTCCGCGTAAGCCAGATAACTATAGTTGACACATTGGGTGTACATTAAATGCGTACAGTCTAAATACCGCATTGAACAATCGAGGAACAAGTATTATAGCGAACAGGTCAGGACGATTAAGCGTACCTTGGAATTGCGCATAGCATTCGCTTTCGAGCACATGTAGGATATCCCCAAGACTTCTTCTACAACCTCGTGTCGCAAAAGGTGCACTCCGTGGCTACTATCGCCTCTAGCTTGCGTGTATCAAAACGATCACAACAATGCTGTTGCAGGAACGCATCTCGGCCCGACCTTGTGACGAACATGGGGATACTGGTGTGGGGCGCTAAGAACGTCTCGGCAGATATCGGCGGGGCTTCGATTGTTCCAGCAGAGCGTTATCTGCATCCATCAGGATGTGCCTCACCACTTGCATGTCAAAAACAGCATCTGCACTATATATTTTTACTAAATTGCCCTCTTTCCATCAAGCATTCTTGGTCCAACGGTAGGATAATTGCCTTCCAAGCAATTGGCCCGGGTTCGACTCCCGGAGGATGCACAACATCCTTCTCTCGATTGCAAAGTTGTGAAAACCGTCTTTTTTTGCTTTTGCAGGTTCATCGCAAAACTCCCAGATGCACAACAACCTTCTTCTGATTGCACAGTTGTGAGCACTGTCTTTTTTGCTTTTATCGCGGGCCAATTGCGAAACTCCCGGACGCACAACGTCTTCTCGATTGCACAGTTAGAAAATCCTTTTCTTGCTTTTGTTCGTCGCAGGTCTATTGAAAACTTCGAGAGGTCGTATAATATCCCAGTCTTTTCTACTTCTCCTTATCGCAGGTTAATTGTTAAATTCCTAGAGAATATACATTATCCTTCTCTCAATCGCACAGTCGTAAAAACCGTCTTTTTGCTTTTGTTCATGGCAGGTCAATTGTAAAAGAGACGTGGGTACAACCCGTTCAGCCTCAGCCAGTCTCCGTGCCACAATCTTTCTTTTTGCACTTGGGCTTACATCTTCCATCTGCCACCGTCACAACCAGGGCGACTTGATCTATAATGAGAACCATCTAGCGTGATGAATTTTCATCCACGGACTGCAACCTCGAGGCAACCACGGATCTAGACGCGACACAAGGCGCGGGGTCGCAGCACGCTCAAGCACCATATCGTATGAGGATAATGGGGTGGATGCGGCCGCCTCCGAATCAGATTACTTGGTATCTGAGAGCTTCATTTCTACGCGACACGCATGATCACGTCAGGTTGCAGCTGGACGCTGAGGCGCTGGTAACACACACACATTCGTCCTCGAGGACACTGGCTTCCCGCAGGACTCTGCATCCTTGTGGCAGGCAACGCGACAAAGGGTGACACGTTGCGTGGCGACTTCGCTCTATTCCGTGTACCTACTTGCGACAGCCCGCGACGAGCACAAAGATTTGGAAGCGAGGATAACCATGCTGTACCCCTCAAAACCGGTGACCCTAAAACCGTGGTTCAGAGGCATAGCATGTGCATGATTGGCTTGCGCTAGCCCTATATCGCAACGGCAGCCCGTCGTGGTCTGGATCCTCGCTTAGATGCGTTGGCTTTACAGTGCACTGTGGGCCTCTAGACCAACGCTCGGAAGTGGGGAGTCGGTGAGCTTGCCTAAGAAACACGGCGATTCCAGGGTTCCGCATATGATTTCGGCCTTCCCATTGGGCAGGCTGGCCTGGGAACGTAAAGAGTCACCGACACCTTGATAGAGTTGCGATATGCGCCAAGTACATGGACGATGAAGACATACGTGAGCAGGAATCGCGAGCATGAGTAGGATGTGTAGTATAAATTGGGCTGACGGCCGGAGCTTTGAGCCTCATCTCATCTGCAGTCATCTTCATCGTCTTACCTGAAGACAACGTCACTACTTGTACTTGACTACCCAAACATGACTTCACACAGTCAACCCATGCCACCTCCAGTCCGCACAAACACACTCGACTCACAAAAGTCGCAGTCTTCATCGGGGCAAATCTCCCCACCATGCTCTCCAGCATCGCAACATTCGCGCGCCGCAACATCGCCAGCTGAAGAGTCGTTCTTCGGCGCCATTTCAGCGCGGATCCGTGGTCGTTCACGCAGCCGCTCTCGTAGCGCTGCATCGCGCAAGCGGTCCAAGTCGCCCATGGTCATGCCACCCGAGCAGACGCCGCACTCGCAGCACACACCCATCGCTAGTCCAACTACTCCAACAAGACCATCTGCTGCCCCACTACAGGGCGGCATACCAAGCGTTCAGAATGCGGGCAGGAGAAGTACTAGTGGAAGCGACCCATGGAGGGGACGACACTCGAACGACTGGCTGTTCAACGGGTACTCTGTTACAGCCTCTGCCAAGGAGCTCATCCAGCGACGCAAGTAGATGAGATGGATTACTAGGCGATACTAGAGGATAGTATTACACTTATTGACAAGTGGTCGCCTTTCACGACCGTTACGAGAAACGATGGACTTGACGAATAAGACTCTCTAATGCGGAAGAGGTGCTCGAGCTGGTTTCGATATCTTCGCGTTCTTTCTGTATTCTGCATGTTGTATATTAGTCGTAGTAATTTGATGATGGTACCGCGACGATGACGTCAATATGGTGATGCTCCTGCCTCCGTGGTATGCGTGACATTATCGTCGAAATAGCCCTGCTAATCACGTCTGCAACGATGGCATACGAATGATTTTAGTATGTTCATCTAGAGCAAGTCCTTAGTGTTTGCACTACCCTTTTACATAATCAGCCCTACTGACTCGCGCATCTGCTCCGGTGCCGCAGTACCAGGTACCAACCTGTCACCGACCTATTTCGCGACGACATCTGAGAGTACCTTCATGTCTACCTATGCCCTGTGCTTCTTCGATGCGCCGGCATTATGCGATGATGATTTCGACATTTAACACCGGTCATCGAGCTCTTGGGACGGCATGTGCTGCTATCGGAGTGGCAGGATGATGCCATCGGTAGCCTAATCTGCTATTCCGATCATGACCCACTACCCCTCCGCAACGCCGCCGTGAGGTTTACAATCCTTCGCTACAAAAAGCGCATTCCGAGACCTGGGATTTGTATTCGTCACACCGCATCAGATTGTCCTCGAGGATTAACAGGAAAGACATAAGCATATAAGTCGTGCGATCATCCCAAGTCCTCCAGCCTCGGCCAAACACATTCCTTCACAATCGCATCATGAGACACGAACGCGCCACCCTTCCGACACCTACGTCGACCAACTCTTTTTGGCATAGTGAGCCGAACGAATACCTAATTGGCCATCGTACAACCGAAGACTTGCCCGCCGAGGCTGATATAGTCATCGTAGGATCGGGTATAACAGGCACAGGCGCAGCCAGCTATCTTGCGGAGGATGCGAGGGCTAATGGAAAGAGCATTGTAATGCTTGAGGCGCGGGAGGCGTGCTGGGGTGCTACTGGAAGGGTGAGTTGATAGCCTTTGATAAGCCTGTATCAAAGATTGTGTATTCCTGGGGCTGTCGAATGTATCTGTGGATACATGCTGATGAAGATAGAATGGTGGACATTGCCAACCTCTCCTCTTCGATCGAAGCAGCGATGTAGCCGAATTCGAACTCAAAAACGTTGCCGCACTACGATCCTACATACAAGAAAATAATGTACCATGCGAATGGCGCGACGTGGTCGGCTGTCGCACATTCTGGACGGAGGAGGCGTTGAAGGAGGCCGAAAAGGAAATCGACCATCTCCGCAAGGTAGCACCCGAAGTCGCAAAAAACGTCAGAGTCATCAAGGACAAGGAGGAATTCAAGAAACACCGCATTGCGCCTGACTGTGTCGGAGCGACGTTGAGCCAGGGAGCTGCAAGTCTGTGGCCATACAAGCTGATTACGTTTGCGCTCGAACAGCTGGTCAAGGATGGCCAAATCAATCTCCAGACGAAGACTCCTGTGACGGAAATAACGTCTGCGGAGGACAAACATACCCTACACACGCCCCGTGGCACCATAAGCAGCAAGACTGTTATTCTGGCAACAAACGGCTACACATCCGCCATTTTACCCCACTTCGCCGACCTCATCGTCCCTTGCCGCGGTGAGATGTCAGCACTCTTTCCGCCAGAAGGATCCACTCTCCTACCCAACTCCTACGGCATGGTAGCTGCTCTCGGCCAGCCAGCCAATAACGACGATTACCTCGTCCAGCGACCATACGAGGGCGTGCCAAACCCGGCCGGTCATCTCATGTTCGGCGGCGGCCGCGGAGCTGGAAACTTCCCTAGCATAGGCATCTCAGACGACAGCGTGATTGACGAAGGCTCAGCTGCCTATCTCCGCGGTGCCCTACTCAAAGTCCTCGAATTAGATGGCCAAACCGAGGGTCTCCAAGAACTCAAGGCTGCCGGCCAATGGACGGGAATTATGGGCTACTCCCGTGATGACCATCCTTGGGTTGGTAAGGTGCCAGACAAGGAGGGTCTGTGGCTTTGTGGTGGATACACTGGACATGGTATGCCGAATGGCACGCTGTGTGGAAAGGCTGTCGTGGATATGGTGCTTGGTGAAATGAGTGGGCATGAGCTTAGTGCGGTACAGGCGCAGATGGTGGAGAAGGGAGATATGCCCAAGAGTTACATTTTGACCAAGGAGAGGATTGATAGGGCGAGACAGATGCTCACGGTGCAGCAGCAGGATGCGACGGGGGTTCACATGAACGGTATTGTGTAGATATGGATGATAGTATCCCCTGGACGACTTCGCAATATTGAATAGTACTGGTATTGGGAAATGTGGGAGATCCCGCTTCTGACGTGAAATTGCTTTTGGCCGTGGGTAATCTTCAGGTGTCACGAAATCTTTCTCACCCGCGGAGGATAGCGTGTAAGGCGTTACTCCGCTTCTCCACGGGGCACCAAGCCCTTGTCGCTTACTAATAACGAGCTCTAGATGCTCACTTGCTAGACATGGAATGGCAAAAGCAAACTTGACTCATATCGTACTATTCTTCGCTATATTTGAAAGCAGTTCCCACGCCATCGATACTACCCCGCTTCAAAGATATCCTCTCCGGACAGTTTCCATCCACCATTCCTTCACCTCAGTAACCATGCCCGTCTCTCCCCTCCCCTCAAAAATAGGAGTCGTCCTCTTCCCCGGCTTCCAACTCCTCGACTTCGCCGGCCCAATGGACGCATTCAACATCCTCTCCTACGACCACCCACTGACTCTCTACACCATCGCCTCGACCCTCGACCCCGTCTCAACACACAACTTCCTACAAAAGGAACGAGGTTCCCAGATCTCGCAAACCCTCGTGCCGACGCATACCTTTGACACCGCGCCCGACGATCTAGAGGTGCTGCTGATTCCCGGTGGCCTGGGCGCTAGGAGCAAGGAGCAAATGAAGCCCGTGGTCGAGTATCTGGAGAAGCTGGATATGAGCGGGGAGGGCAAGTTGAGGTGGGTGCTTACGGTGTGTACGGGTAGTGAGATTCTAGCGAGGACGGGGGTGTTGGATGGGAGGAGGGCTACGACCAACAAGAAAGCTT